GTACATCCCAGGACATGAGCCCTCTGATCTGTTTGTGGGTATATTCCCCTACATGTGAGAATTAATCTGTCTTCATGTGTGATTTGTAGGTTTTCAGGTATCTGATCTGTTGGTCTCTGTCCAAGGATGGGACTCTCTGAGGTGTGTGAGTATGTTTCCCAACATGTGATATCTCTAAGCCATTTGTGGGTATGTCTTCCAGAATATGTGTCTCTCTCCACTTTGTGTGTGTACTTTGCTTGTGGGAGGTCTATGATCTGTTTGCAGCTATCTTCCTAGGATTTCAGGTCACTGATATGTTTCAGGGTATGTGTCTCAGGATCTGTTATCTATAGTCTCTTTGTGGGTGTAGTCTCCAGATGTAAGGTCTCTGACTTGTTTGTCTTATGTTCCAGGATGCAAAGTTTGTGGTTTGTGGGTGAGTTTTGCAGGATTTTATGCCTGTGATCTATTTGAGGGTGTGAGTCCTAGGATGTGAGGTTTCTGATCTGTTTCTGTGCATATTTCCTAGCATGTGAGGTCTGTGAACATGTAGTCACTGTATGTCCCAGGATGTGATATCTCTGATTTCTTCATCTGTATTGTCAAGCATTTGAGGTCTCTGATTTGTTTCTTGTTATTTGTTCCAGAATGTGAAATCCCAAACTGTGGGTATATATTCCAGTGTGTGTGGTCTCTGATCTGCTTGTGGGTGTATATGCCAGTGTTTGAGCTCTCTAATCTTTTTGTGCATGTATTGCCCAGGATTTTATAGTGTATTTCCTAGAATGTGCATCTCTCTGGTCTTTTTTAATGTATATCCCAGGGTAGGCATATCTGACTCCTTCATGGGTGCATGTCCCATGGTGTGTGCTCTCTTATGTTTTGTGGGTGTGTCGTAGGATATGAGGTCTCTGTTGTGATTGTGGGTGTATGTCCTAAGACATGAGTTCTCTGACCTCTTTTTGGGTTTATATCCTAGGATGAGAGGTCTTTCATCTAGTTCTGTGTGTATTTTGAGCTTGCAAGGTCTGTTACCCATCTGTGGGTATATGTCCGAGAGTGTGAAGTGTCTGATGTGTTTGAGGGTCTGTGTCCCAGGATGACAGATTTGTTTGTGTGTGTGAGATGTCTGATCCCTTTGTAGGTGTATGTCTTAGGATGTGAGGGCCTGTTTTTGTATGTTTGTCAACAGCGTGAGGTCTCTAATCTGTTTGCGGCTCTATGTCCCAGGCTGTCAGGTTCTGACCTGTATTTCTTTGTACCAGCATGTGAGGTCTCTGAGGTGTTTAGGGTTTATGTCCCAGGGTTTGAGTCTCTGGTCTCTTTGTGGGTGTAGGTCCCAATATGTGAGGTCCCTGATCCATTATTTGATTTATTTCCTAGGATATGAGTGCTCTGGTCTGTTTGTGGGTATGTGCCCCACCATGAGAAGTATCTATTATTTTTGTGTGTGTATGTTACAGGGATTGAGGTCTAAGATCTGCTCGTAGGTATATATTCCAGGATGCTAGTTCTCTGAAATATTTGTGGGTATGTTTCTACGCATGTGTGGTTTTTAATCTTTCTCTGAGTAGGTCACAGGACGTGAGGTCTGTTCTTTTAGGGTGTGTATTTCCTAGAGTTTAGATTCTCTGAGCTGTTTGTGTGTGTGTGTCCCAGGCTGTGAGGTCCCTGATCTGTCCAGGTGTATATGTCCCTTGATCTGAGGTCTCTGAATTATTTGATGTTCTGCATCCAGCATGTTAATACTTGGAATTAAATTTGGGGGTCTATAAGTCTCAGAAGGCTTTCTGAATCCTGGATTCTGGGGTTCTGAGCTTTTGTAGTCTACATTCCCGGGATGAGTGTATTCAGCTATTTGTGTGATTGTGTCTATATTGGACTGTCTCTGAGCTACTTGGCCCCTGTGTCCTAGAATATGTGGTACCTGAGCTCTTTCGGTTTTGAAGTTCTTGTTCCTTGACCTGTTTGGGATGAAGTCTCTTCCTTTTGGGTGGTCTCAGTCCTTGAGTGTGATACATCTAACTCATTAGGGTTATTATTTTGTTCCAGGATCACAGACTCTGAGCTTTTTATGGGGTAGGGTGTGCTACTTAGTGAGTTTCCTGAGCTGTTTGGGGTCTTTATTCAGTGTGTTAATCTCTCAGTTCTGTGGTGGTCTCTGCAGAATATGGTGTCTCTGAATGACTTAGATGTCTCTCCTTTCAGGTATGAGGTGGCTGAGCTGTTTGGGGTCTGTGACCCTTGTCTGAGGACTCTGTGTTTGAGTGTCTGTGCCCAGGGTGTCACCCCTCTGAACTGTTCTGAGCCCATGTTTCAGGGAATGAGTTCTCTGTGATGTGGGTTGTCCTTGGGTGTGATTTTTTTGGAGCAGTTTCAGAATCTATGTCCAGAGTTTGAGGTCTTTCTACTGATGTCTTCCTACTATTTGGAGCCTCTGAGGGGCTTCACCCTCTGTGCTCCAGAGTGTGAGATTTCTGATCTCTGTATCCCTTGCTGTTGAGGTCCCAAACTGTTGGGGGGTGTTTCCAAGGGTGAGGTAGCTCCTGCTGGGGGGATCTCAGTCCCAGGGTATGAGGTCTTTCACTTACTAGGGGTCTGTTTCCAGGGTTTGAGGTCTCTGAGCAGTTTGGGGTTCTGTTACCAGTTTATGATGTCTTGGGTATTTGAGGGGTCTGTGTCCAGGTTGTTATGTCTCTGAGCTGTGTAGGGGTCTGTGTCCTTGGGTGTAAAGTTTGTTAACTCTGAGCATTTTGGCATTGTATGTCTGGTATGTGACATCTCTGATCTGCAGGTCTGCTTTCCAGATTGTGAGGTCAATTGACTCTTACGGTGTGTTTGTCCCATAATGTGAGGTATTGAACCATTTGGGCCTGTGTAGCCAACATGTGCTGTTTCTGAGATTTTTGTGTCTGTCTTCCAGGTTAGAAGTACTCTGAGCTGTTTAAGAGCCTATGTGCATGATGTGAGGTCCCCAAGTGGTTTTCTGTGTCCCCGTTATGAGGCCTCACTGCTGTTTGTGGCACAGACTTTGAACAGAATGTAAGGTTTCTAGACTCTTTGGTGAGCTGTGTCCATGAGCATCGGATGTCTGAAATCTCTCTGGATATGAGTACAAAGTGGGAATTCCATGAATGTTTTTGGGGTCTGAGTCCAAGGTGTGACATTTCTGAGTCATCTGGAGGTCTGTGTTGAGTGTGAGTATTCCACGCTCTTTGGGGATTTCAGCCGAGGATCTGAGGTTTTTAAGCCGTTTGGAGTCTGTGTCCAGAATGTGTGATCTCGGAGTTATTTGGGGTCTGTATCACAGGGTGTGAAGTCTCTAAGCTACGTAGAGAATATGTGTCCAGACTGAACCAGAGTGGGAAGCCTCTGAGCTTTTTGGAGATCTGTGTATGAAGGCCCTGAGCTATTTTTGGGAAACCTAGTCCAGTATGTGACATCTCTGAACAGGAATGTATTGAGGTTGCAAGGTCTCTGAGCTGGTTTAGGGCCTGTGTTCTAGCATACGTGATTTTGGAGTTCTCTCGTATCATGGTTCAAGGTGTGAGGTCCCTGGGTGGTCTGGCGGTCTGAGAAGAGGGTGCTGTCTCTGAACTGTTTGCCCATCTTTATCCCAGTTTATGAATTCTCTAAGTGGTGGGTCTTTATCCCAAGTTGTGAAGTCTCTGAGCTTTGGGTGGGGTCTGTAATCAGATTTTCAGGTCTCTCAGCTCTTCAGGTGTAAGGGTCAAAGTGTTGAATTACATGAGGCATTTGGTAATTTTTCCTAGGATGTCTTATGAACTGTTTAGGGGTTTATGTCAGGTGTGAGTTCTCTTGAGCTATATCTACATCTGTTTCCCAGAGTCGGAATTCTCTGAACAGGGTTTGTTTCCAGTCTGAGATCTCTAAGCCCTTTGGGCATCTGTGTCCGAGACTGGAGTCTCGTTGAGTTGTTTGTGGCATGTGCTCTAGGGAATGTCTCTGGGATGTTCAGTGCTCTATTTTCTGAGTAACTTGGGGGATCTGTGTCCAATGTATGAGGTTTTGAAAGCATTTAGGGGCCTGTGTTCAGAGAATGAGGTCTCTCAGAGTTTGGGCAGTCTGTGTCTGGGGTATCACGTCTCAGCTGTTTGGGGGTATGTCCCAGGGTGTGAGGTCTCCAAGCAGTTTGGGAACCGAGGATCAGTGGGTGAAGGTTCCAAGTTGCTTGCGTGGCAGTATCCCAGGTTGTGAGATCTGTGTGATGTTTGCAAATCTCTCATCCAGAAAGTTCTCTGATGCATTTGGGGTCTGATTCCCAGCATGAGGTCTCAGTGCTCTGTGGGAGTCTGTATTCCAGTTTCAGTGTAGCCTGTAATTTTAGGGTGTGCGCAGGTGTGAGATTTGAACTGTATAGAGATATATATCCCAGGTGTAAGGTCTCTGAGGCCTTAAGTCACTACCCCGGGTATGAGGTCTATGAGCTGTTTGGAGGCCTGTCCTAGCTGCCCTGTATGTGAGGTCTCTGAGCAAAAACAAAGGGTACTGGCTCACGTTCAGGTTAAGGGATGATAAAAGTGTATTTGAAGCATCATTATTTCCTCTGCTTTATACCCTGGCACATATAGGTGCTCAATAAATATTTGCAGACATAGCCTCCCCCAGCACACACACTTTTCTCTTTGAATGCACTCAGCAGGCTTTGGATTCAAAGCCTCTTAATTGCAGGGAGGGTCCAGCTAGAATTTTGTATTTCTGTATCCTCATTGCATTTATTTCTCTGGTTATTTTTGCTTGTTCATGGCAAGTGATAATGGTTTGTTCATTCAGACAATGAATATAGCTTGCTTTTTCAGTGCATTTAAAATTTAAGTATAAAAAAGCAAGCTTATTTTAGGTCAAGATATATGCAGATGATGATGCAAGAAGTGCAGTGTGGGAAGCGATAATTAAATGGCTGAGGTTTGAGTAACACACTCCTGGGCACCCCAGCTCCTTGCCTCAGCCTCTAACCCCCACCTGCACCATGCCTTCAATCCCCACACCTTGGTTTGTTCAGTCAGTAATTCATTTTATTGATGTCTACCCCAGGCTGGGTAGGGCTGAGGGGTATACAGAGGAGAATCAGATTCAGCTCATTCCTGAAGGTCAGCCTGGGGGCGGAGAGCATGGACACACAGACACACACACACACACAAACGGACACACAGATCCAGCATCTGGTGGCAGGGCACACAGCCTCATGTAGGGGCACTCTGGGCACAGGTAGTCTGGGAAGGCTTCCTAGAGAAAACCTCACAGGGGAAGCAAGGGGCAAAAGCTTTCACCTTTTGTACATTTGTGGCCAGGTAACTTTTTGAGTCCAGTGGACCCAAGGTGAGTGCAGAGGGCTGGGGGCTGGGGCTGGCAGGCAGCACAGGCTTTCTGCTTAACTCACCACACCCCCATTCTCGGCCTGTACTTTTGTCTTCTGCCACAAGGCCCTTTCCTGGGATCCACCTCCATAGTTTTCAAGGCTTCCCTGAGACAATCCACATGGACCAGGTGCTCTGCCCAGTCAGTGCCTGACACCTCACCAGCACCCCATCAATGCACATTTTCATCCTAAGTGCTATCTATACAGCCTAGCTAGGGCTCTGTTCCAGCTCTGAGTAGTCCCAGCAGTCATCACACCGCAGGTCAGGGCTCCCAGTGCCCTCTGAGCTCCAGAAAGCCCTGAGTGCCTTCTATGCTCTCCCAGAGGCAGAGCTGCGTCTCAGCCCATGTTAAGGGTTGGAAAAGTCTGAACCACCTACCCATCATAGTCAGTGGGCCAGGAGCATCCAGACCCCTTCCAGTAGCATGTGGGTGTCCACTTCTCAGATGCACAGCCCTGAGACCCTACAGCTCTTAGGCCAATGCTAGCTGGCGCTTGAGCATGAGCAGAAACCAGACTCAGCCCCCAGCCCTGGAGACCCCCTTTCTTTCACAAGCACAAAATTTCTGTGGTAGGGGAATCAACCAGGCTGGGAACTCTGGGCTCTGATGTCACCCTGCCCTGGGGCTGCTTCTCCACACCCTCAGGGCAGTAGGGAGAGGGCCTACACAAGACCTCTCAAGCTCTAGGCAGAAGCAGGTACAAAAGCAGATGTCTTTCTATTCTGGGGCTGGGCTGGGGCTCACCCTATGGACCTACCTCCTTGACAGGCCAGGAATGCCAACTGCAGAAAGCTCTGGTGTTGAAAAATTATTTCTAAAGGTAGGCTGGGTGGGGGGTTGTTAAGTGCAACCCACAGATGGGGCCAGGACAGGCAGAGGGGACTCCCAGAGTCAGTCCTCACTGTAGCCCCACAGCCCTGACCATGGGGCACGTGGGGGGCAGCAGGAGGCCCTGGCAGTCATTCCTCAAAAGAAGGGCAGCAGTGGGTGGGTGGGGTGGGAGGCTTCAGGCCCCCATGGTCAGTCTGGCCTGACTCCAAAAGGCTAGAAGAGGTATTTGCGGCAGGATGCAGTCCCACACTTGCACTCGATACGGACACGCTTCTTGGGGGAGCCAGGGAGCCCAGCCAGGCCAAAGTTGGAGTCCATGCGGGTGCTCTCCATGTCCACTGGGTCCACTGTAGAGTCACAGCCAGGGAGGGTGGGGAAGGAGGGGATGGTTAGAAGGCCTAGGTGTGGGGTCCAGCTGCCCTTTTACCAGGAGACCCAGAGACAGCAGGGCTGGGGCTGGGGTCAGGAGTGGGGCATGGGGTCGGTGGTTTGGGGCTAGGGCCAGGACTCAGCACTGAAGGGGTGCTCAAGTGTTAGGAAGATGGCCAGGGGCTGGGGGTTGTCGGGAGAGGCAGGGGGCTGTCAGAGGTTACCAGGAGGGTCATGTCAAGCTCAGAAATGGAGGGTCACCTGGGCATCCAGAGGTGCATCTCAACTCTCCTGCCAAAGATCCCCCCTCAAGTGTCTCAGAGGTGGCTAGTTTGTCAAGAAGGGGACTGGATGGAGGCCAGAAGGGTGTCCAGAGGCTTGGAATGAGGAAGGCCAAAGGAGGTTAGGAAGAGAAAGGGTTGGGGAACTGGGGAGATTCAGGTAAGACCGAACTCAGGAGAAGTGCCTTAGCTCTCCAGCCAAACGTCCTCCACCAGGAGCCCTGGGAGCTGGTATGAGTGTCTCAGGACTGGGGTCCAGGGGTTGGTCATGAGGGGACCCCCAAGGGTGTGCAGGGGTCAAGGAGTCCAGATGGGAGGCGGAGAGTCAGGAAGAGCATCTTAAAGTTCCTTGGGGAAGGGTCCTCATGTCTCACATCACTGTGTGCCCCTGCCCCGAGTCCCTTGCCACCCCCACCTTGCATGTTGTAATCAAAGGTAAGCTCCTCGCCTGCCCGGATGGTTCTCGTGGCAAAGAAAGCGATGCGGGGCAGCCGCTCATCAAGGTTGTCTATGAAGACGTTGTATACCTGGAGGTTGGGGTCACACTGGGCGAAAAACAACAGCAGGAGGGTGAGGAGGGGCCCCAGCCTGCTCCTCCCAGCCCCCCTCCCGCCTGCAGGGTACCCACACTGTGGTTGACAAAGTGGGAAATGTTGCCATAATAGGCAGCATCCACTGTGTACACATCCTCCACGTAGTCCAGGTCGAAGAGATAGGTGGCGCCCTGGCGGTCGTAGATCTGGCCCCGCCGCTCTGCCTCCTCTGAGGTAATGATCTGAGAAGAGGGCCATTGGAAGGGGAGATTGGCCAGAAGTCTCAGGAAGGCCAGTGCAGCTCCTGAGCCCCAGCCTGGCCTCTCAAGAGGAAAGCAAGCTAGCAAAGTGGCACCCCTGCCCCGTGGCTGGCTCAGGAAGGACGGCAGGCACAGAGACACAGGAGGTGGTGATGCAGAAGGCCTGTCAATCCTTCTTGGGAGACTGGGCCTCAGTTGCCCGCCACCCATCCCTCCTCAGGCCTCTGGGTAGCATGGGGAGTTTCCTAGTGGTGGGCCATGGCTGGCCACAAGGTACAGTAGTGAGAGAGACACCCATAATGGGACAGAGTGAGCGGACCCAGATCAAGAGCAAGAAAAAAAGATCCAGAGCTCACTGAGAGAGGTGGGGAGAGCATGGAGAGAGAGGCTGACAGCTCAAGAGCAAGTGCAGGAGCCAGCACCAAAGAAGCAAGCATGCAGGGCTGTACAGGCAGCAAGGACATGGAGCAGGGAGAGAAGGAAGAGATGGAATGTTGGGAAGAGGGGGACAAAATGAATGGGAAAGAGATGCAAACAAAAGAGCTAGAGGCAGAGTGCTGGAAACAAGACTCTTAATATGGAAGACCTAGGTCCAGAGAGAAGAACAAGACCACTCAGACAGTCTGAGATCGCAAGAAAGGCTGAGGCCAAAGCCTCAGAGAGACAAGGAATATGAAAGGGAGGAGCCGAGATCACGCGTAAGGACCCTGCCCTTGGCCCTGACACAGTGCAGTGCCAACAACTGGGAGTTCAGACAGCAGGAGGCCTCCCCTCCTGCCCACTGGGTCCCCCACTGTCCTCAGAAACTCGAGGCTGTAACACCATGCTAGCCCCATCCTGCCCCTTGCCTCCCAAATGCTGGCGATGGGTTCTCCACCTCTCCCCACCCCACCAAATCTCTCCTCTCCATCCCTCATGTCTCCTCTAACCCCCAGGCCAACCACAGTCTTCCAGTAATCCCCAAGTGGAGCCAGTCATGCCCATCTCTGAGTAAGAGGCCCCTCAGCACCCAAGACTGCTCCCTCCTCAGTCTAGCCTGCCTCCAGACCAGGGCAGACCTGATTCTCCACTCCTGGGCTTCCTGCTACCTCCACCCACCCGAGACAAGTGCCCACACAGTGCACAGCACACAGCAGACACGCCATAAATGCCTTTTATTTTTGGTCTGCTTTCTAGCCCGGTGACCTGTCCTGTGTCCAGCAGCAGGCCTACATGCAACTCAAACACTGCCCCCATACACACACATTCCTTCCTTTCCTCTCCCTTGGTCAGAGACCCACTGCCCACCACCACCCCACTGCCGACACTGGACACAGACCCTAACCCACCCCAGCCTCCTTCCTCACTCACCTTTATATCAGCCGGTGACCATGTTCGCTCTACTTTCAGTTTTGACCACCCTCCGTTTTCTCCAGCCAGGATGGAGAAAACACGCCTTTTACACCATCACCTCCAACCATACAGGCCAAATGCTGATCAACAATGGCTTGAGAAGACCAGTATCTACCCCTTGAGTCACGCTGCTCACTGCCAGGCACTCCAACTCCATTCCCTAAGGAACTTGGCTCTCCCACACTCCAAATTTTTGCCTGTTTGTTCACTCATTCATTCAGTGGATTTTTATGAGGCCTACCCTGTGCCTGATCCCAGTGGTCAGGAGCCAGTGTCAGCTGGGGTCACAGTATGGTGACAGAGAAGTGGACTCAGACACCCACTGTGTGAGAAGCTGATCAAGAAACCCAGTGCTTAGGGTTCCCAGGGCAATGGAAAAGAGATACACCATCGAAAGCAAGGTTCAGATTATAAAAGGACTTTGAAACCCGATTTAAGAGTGTTACTCTCTTGAGGGACACAATGGAAGCCACAGAAACATTTTGAGGAGTACATCAAGGTCAATCTCCCTCTGCCTCCCAGAGAACATGCACTCTTCCTTGTGGCATCAGCTCCAACAGATAACACTTCTGTGTGCAGCCATCCTGAGCCTCCCACGTCCCCCTACAGAAGCAGCTGCCTCTGGGAAATGCTGGGATCAAAGGGCAGCCTCTGCTGGGCTGCTGAGCTTAAAAATGGGTAGTGCCTGAGTCAGCTTTCTCCTTTTACCCCTTCCTGACCAGAGGGAATGCCTCACATCTTCCCCGTCTTCATCTGCCGGCCAGTTCTGCCCCTACCTGCTCCGTGAGTCTCACCAGGAGTGAGTCACATGGCAAACCCCACGACACAAATGGTTCCTTCTGTCTTCTTTTCAGTCCCACTTTAAGGGTTGGTGTGCCCTGCAAACTGGGAACAAACCAGTCCATATCCCTGTTCCCTAGCAGCTCTCCAGTGACTGGAAAAGATCCATGGGCTATAAGCTGGCAGTTTGGGAAGGATATCGATGTGAATGGGGAATAAGGAGACTCGAAGTCTGGTCGCTGCTCTGCCCCACCTGGATATGGGATCCTGAATGTTCTCTCCCTGTTTACTCAGCCAAAAACAAAACCAAAAATACTCTACCAGATCTACCAATTTTAGACCCTTGGGCTTTTTAAACCTACTTTACTATCCTGGTAACTCTGAGGACACAACACCTCCCTAGGCCTCAGTTTTCTCATCTATACGATGGGGACAATGACAATAATCCCAACCTGACAGGGGCTGTTGTAAAGATCCAACGATATCATGGATGTGACAGGTGTTTCTATTTTTTAGTTGGGACATGAGCAACGCTAGGAGTGGTTATGAGTACTGTTACCTCGTCCAAATCTAACATGCTCCCTGATTAAGTGCCCTTTCCCAAGAAAGGAAAAACTCCTAATTAAATGATGACACGCCATCATTTAATTAAACTAATTAAGTGAGACCTTCATTTCAGAACTGTTAAAATGTGAAGAAAATGCATGTTAATGGATAAAACAGGCTCTCATTCTTTGCTGGGTAAGGCTGGGGATGTTCTGACGGAAAGTGGATGGGTGAAAAGGGGAGGAAGGGTGCTCCCGTGGAAGGATTGTTAGTGCAGAGGAGGAGAGGCATGAGAGCGAATGCTGTGTCCGGATTGTAGGATAGCATGGTGAACCGGTATGGGGTGTATGTCCTCAATTACATAACACCAGACAGGGTTGGGGACAGCCATACATAATCAAGTAAATACATACTTCTGCAATGAAGTTTATGAATATTCACACCAAGTAGTACAGACAGATCATAAATAGGCCCATATCAGGTCTGGTTGGATTCTGTGGACACAAGAGTTACAAAAAACTTCTGGTTTTCTGAGCATTTTGAAATTCCTGAATTTTGGACTGTAATGGCTAACATTTATTAAAGACTTAACTGTTCAAGTGCCTCTTCAAAGAGCTTACATACTCATTTAATTCTTATAACAAGTGTATGGGGTGGGTACTGTTATCATTTCCATTCTACAGATTAGGAAACTGAGCCACTGCTGTGAAGCTAGGATTCAACCTTGGGCAGTCTCCAGGGCCCACCCTCCTGACCACTTGTCCATGTTGTCTCCTCACAGTAGGATGCAGGAAGAGGAGTTTAGTTCCAGCAGTGTCTGGGGGCCTATGGTGCCATCAGGAGGCCCCAGAGATCTCAGGGTATCAGAGGAGGGCCTGCAAGTCACTGAATGTGGCAGGAGGGAGGCCTAAAAATAGCTTGAAGAGCGTGTGGAGAGTGGGAAGAATGGGGACAGGGAGTGAAGCCCCTGGAAGTTCAAATGTTTACAGCATGAAGCAGTAAGGACCCTAAGGCAGAGCTGCCCAAGCAGTGTATCTGGACCACGGGATTAGTGGGAGGTGGCTGCAGGCTCTGCCACTTCCTCGCCTGTCAGACTTCTGTGTTGTAGACAGCTGCTTCTCGAGATTGTCAGTACAGTGAGGCTAGAGACACACCATGCTCTGGACGTCCTCTAGAACTGTCAGGCTCCTGTGGGGCTGGACACCTCCTCCATACCAGTGATATCCCTCTGAGGTGTTAACATCTCTACACTGTTTGGGTCCCTCTGAGGTCTGGACATCTCCTCCAAAGTATCAGGACACCAAGATGAGACCACTTCCTCCAGGCTATCAGAGTCCTCTCGGGTGTGAATCCAATCTCCTTCAGACTGTCACATTCCCTTTAAGGCGAGGACACTTCTTTTTCCTGACTGTCAGGACAGTGTGGGTATAGACACTTCCTAAGTCAGACTGCCAGGGTCCTCTGCAGTGTGGAGAGCTCACCCCCTTTGTCCAGGTCACTCTAGGACGTGGCCACCTCTTCGTGTAGATTGTCAGTCCCCTCTCCCCAGACTTACTGGAACCCTCTGGGGTGTGGCTACATCCTCCTTACTCCAGACTGTCAGGTCCTTTGACATGTGCACATTTCCTCCACTAGACAATCAGGATTACCTGGGGGTGTGGCCATCTCCTCATCCAGACTGTCAGGGTCCTGTACAGGACCTCTACCTCTAGACTGTCTCTACTCCCAGGGCTATGACCCTCTCTACTTCATGTAGTTCATCAGAGTGGGAGCCTCTCCTCTTTATCAGTGTCATTACTACAGTGCAGACATCCTCAGGTGTGTGTCCCTTAGGCCAGCTTCTATTACTTCCCAACCATACCACACCCCTAAGAGACCTACAAACACAGAAAGGCATTTGGGATTGTCACTGTGACAGGGCACACTCACAGATTTGAATGGTCAAGGTCCAGGGATGTTCGGTGTTCCTGAACACTGAGATACATGAGATGGCCCTACATAACAAAGAATTGCCCTACCCCAAATGCCCACGATGATCCACCTTAGAACGTGACACACGCTACGGCAGACACTTGATAGTTATTCACCCAAACCCTTTTTGTTTTCCACGGGGACACACAGCTAAATCATACTTCCCAGGCTCCCTTGCACCAAGGTAAGGCCAGTGACTCAGTTCCAGCCAGTGGGTGTGGGCAGAAGTGATGTGCACCGCATCCAGGCCTGGCGCATTAGAAACCTCCACTTCTACCCCTACTCTTGGCCCACTTGCCAGGCAACGCCAAGGATCAGATGCAGCTCCAAGGCTCTAAGGCACAGAAAAGGCACAAGAGGGAAAGAGCCTGGGTGGCCACACCACCATGTAGGATACGACTCAAAAACCCACGTTAGACTGGGACAGGAGCAAACAGACTTCTACTGTGCAAAGGCACTAAGATTTGGGGGTTGTCTGGTATGGCAGCTAGCCTGCCTAATACACCTGGCCTTTCCCCAGTTTCCTCTAAGTCTAGACATAGCAGCAGCCAACCTCCACAAGGCATGTCTACAGCCTACTCCAGACCATTTGTGTTCCTTTTGTGCAGATTAGTGAAAGATGCTCCTTCTGGGCAGACACTGCTTGGTGATAAGCTGGACCCTTGTGAAATGAGAAGAGGAAGTGCCTTTTTCAAGTGACACAACCCTGTGCAGACCACATGGCCTGTTAAAAGGGATGCTGCCTGGATTTCAGTTCCCACTTTCCTATGTGCTAGGCACCCTTATGCAGTCAACCCAGTTCAAAAGTATTTTAACGTGCTTTGAGCCACCAGCTTGGAATACCCCTGCCAGGATGTCCCTGTCACACTCGGGTTAATGCCACCCCGGCCTTTCCCACGGTGAAAGAGGAGAAGCTGCAGGCACACAGAGAGGCGAGCTGGGTGCGCACAGTGGTAACACATGGTGGAAAGGGCAGAACACACACATATACGCCCAGGCCCTGCTCCCTACCTCTCCCACGTACTCCATGACAAAGCTGTTCTTGCGGATCTTCTCCAGTGTGCGGACGCCCCAGCCGCGCCCATCATCCGTGCGGAAGATGCAGAGGTCATAGCGTATGCCCTTCTGTACCACGCGGTTGGGGCAGTCATAACCACAGCGGCAGCGGGCGTTGCACTCATAGATAGGCAACCCGGCACGCAGCCGCACCTGACCCTGGTCATTGTAGGCAAACTTGTGCAGTGAGGCCCCGGGGCAGCAGCCGCCAGAAGGTGCCCACAGACAGTCCTGGCACTCACAGCCCACGGCCACCTGGTTGAGAGTGATGCCCTCACCAACACGGTACTCGTTGATATACACAAAGGCCCGCGGGGGGCCGTCCAGGTCCACTTCATTTTCCACAGTGATGCATCCCTGATGGCTGCGCTTGGCATTGAGCTCCTGCTCCCAGCGCTGCAGCGCCCGCCTCTGCTTGGCCTTCTGTACAAGGTAGTTGGCCAGGCTTGGGTCCAGGTGCCGGGGTGGTTTAGACCGGTGGTACCGCCGAAGCAGCTCCCTTTCTAAGTCTTTATGGAACTGTTTGAGAATGCGCACACACTTCAGATTCTGCCGTGGCTCCCAGGTGCTCTCTGAGTCTGGGTATCCACGCCATTTTACCAGGTAATACTCCTGCTCCTGTTGGAGGGGTCAGGGGAATGGGGCACTGTAAATGGCAAGACCCTTGGGCAGCCGTTGCAGGACTTTCCTCCCAAGCCAAGGGATAACACCCAAACCACTCAGCTCCCTTTTCTGGAATGACTCCATGCAGTGGTTTAAAAGCATGTGCTCTAGAGTGAATATCACTAGGCTCAAGTCTTGCTCTCCCCCTTACTATATGTCTAAATTCCAGCTCCAAGTTTCATCTCCCAAACCTACTCCCCACTGTCTTCCCCATCATCAGCTCCATCTTTCTAGCAGTCTGGGCCCCAACTCTTTGAATCATCCTTGACTCCCTTTTCTCATTCCCCACATCCACCTTCAGCAAATCCGGCCAGCCCCACCTTTGGACTACATCCAGAATCCAACCACTTGGGCACTTCAAACCATGGTCACTGCCACCACCTAATCACTAGCATGGACTGCAGCACTGGCCTCCTCACTGGTCCCCTTGCTTCCACCCTCACCTCCTACGAGTCTGTTCTCCACACAGCAGTCAGAGTGTCATTTCTTGCTGAGAGGCAGCTATAACAGAGTTTAACTACACAGACTCTACACTCTGGGCACAAATCCTGAATCTGCCATTCCCTAGCTGTGTGGCCTGAGGCAAGTTACTTAACTTTGCTAAGCCTTGGTTTCCTCATCTGTAAATAAGATGAAAATATGGTGTTTTTCTAGAATTCATTATGTAGCAGGTACTGTTCTAAGCAACTAATGGGAATTATTAACTAATTTAATCCTCACAACTCTATGAGGTTGATACTACTAATCTTCCTGATTTTACAGATGAGGAAAATGAAATACAGAGAAACTGGGTAAGTATCCTGGGATTGCACGACCAAGATTTGAACCCAAGCATGCTGGCTCCAGTCTGTTCTCTTAACTATCTTGCCATTACCTCCTCTGATAACAGTTCCCACTTCACAGCGTGGCTGGGGAGATTAAATGAGTTTCTGAGAGGAAGTGCCTGACACACTGAAAGTGCTCAATAACCATTAGCTATCATCAGCTCCAGTCCTGGGCTCAGCATCTCAAACTATGCAATTGTTTTGTATTCCTACAGTGGTGGGAAGAGAGACTTATTTGGGGATGCATTCTGCCTCCTGCCCCCCTCAGAAAGCCACTTAGTTTCCCTACCTATAAAATGAGGATGGTAAGAGAAGCCTACTAATCCTATTTTTTTTAAGATCAGAATAGAAAGTTCCCTTTGGAAACAGATATGAGCAGTGGGAGGCAAGGGGGTAGGAAGCCAGCTTCCTTGAGACACCCCCACCCGGGCCATGGTCACCCCAGACTCACGCGTATCTTCTTGTAATCACACAGGTACTCGACTTCAAAGTCATAGAGGTTTCTCTTAGAGATGCCAAGGGCAGGGCAGGAGAGCTTGGCCAGGCGGCACAAATCCTGTAGCTGATTCCAAGATGACTTGCAACACACACTGCAGCCTAGAACAAAAGGGCCAGAAAAAAACATTACTGGGCATTCTGGAGAGGCCTGGGGTCAAAGTGGACCCCAAATCCTCCCTGGGACTTCCAAAGGACTGCCTGAGTTGGTGAAACTTAATCCACAGGCCTTCCCAATGCTAAGACCCTTCTACAACAAAAACATACCAGTTTCTTCAACCCCAATGCTTCCTGCCCAGAGCTACCCCTGGCGCAGCAGACCTCAAAGGATAATCTGCTGCAAGGATTGTCCTAAAGGAATCTATTCCGAGAGCTTCCAACCCCCTCTATACTATTCCTAAAAGCTGCCTGCAAACCAGCCTTGGGTTCAGGACCTAATCATTCTCCCCATTTTGCAAAAGAAAGACAACAACCCCCACCTCAGTAGGGTGCATTGCCCCAAGAGGGTGGGTGGGGATAGGATTAAAACCTCTGGGGACACCAAACAAAGGCATAACTGGAAAGACTGGTCCACAGTCCCTTATCTGAAACTCCTGAGGCCAGATGTGTTTTGGAATTCAAATTTTTTTGGATTTTACCCATGTAGTTCTAGGTATATCCCGTTCATCACTGAAAACCCCCAGTGTGGTCAGGGGCAGCAAGCTGTAATCAAACGTATTAAGAGTTCTACCACAAAAACCTAATTTTTCATATTCAGTAGGAGAAATAAAGATTCAAGATAGGCGCACTCAACAGTCCCACCTTATAGTCTAGTTTTGCCACTGGATGGTGCCAAATTTAAGTTTTCAGGACTTTTTACATTTCAAAGTTATGAACAAGAGATTGTGGAGTGGTATTAGATTACAGGAAGCTTTCTTGATTAGTCTGGGTGCTGTTAAAAAAAACCACAAGGTATATTTTTTCACAGTGCATTTTGACTTTATCTCATCCACATTTCTCTGAAGGGTAAAGCTCACCCAAATGGGTATTCTCTGAATTCAAGAACAACAAAACTGCATAGGTTCATGGCAGTGATTCTTCTAAATATACCTAGGATGTTTCCTGCGTTACTCCAAATTTTCAAGGCACACAGATTAAAAGGAAAAAATAAAGACTTGACAGATTCAAGGCATTCTTAATGTGCTTTAGAAGCCATTTTATCAAATCATTTCACAGAACACTTGTTCCAAACGTAGTCAGTCCTCATTCTATTTTTAATATTTTCTACCTCCTATACAAAAATCAAACATTTAAACTTATGAAAAGCTCTAGATGTCAACCTTTTATTTCGTGGGCACTTCCCCCTCTCCACTTAGGCAGGCCTAGTGGAGACTCACCCTGTGCCCATGTTTTCCTTTATGACGCCTTTTTCTTTCAAACCCTTTAACTTACATTTGAAACCCCACTAAAGTGGTCCAAGTAACATCTCCAGCTACTGGCTCCACACTGACCACAGGTGTATTCTCCCACCCCTCAGAGTCTTCCCTCACACTTGTGGTACCCATCCACCCCACAGCTGTCCTCACCCAGAGGAGCCCCCACAAAAAACATACTGAGAAAGTCATCCCTCTTTCCTTGCATATGAGGGAGTCCAACTGTCCCAAAGGGGAAGCCCCCTTTCTCTCTTCCTGGGGGAGGCCTCTCTACTGCAAACCCTCCCTCCATCACGGTGAGAGGAAATACCCTCCCCATGAAGAGTTCCCTGGCCTCCCACTCTGGAAAAAAGGTTCATCCCCTTCCCTTCCCTCCCCTTCCGGCGTCTCGCGTGGACACCAAGAGGGTAACGGTCACCGGAGACCGATTTTCCCGCGCGCGGGCGCGGACTCCACGACAAGCCCCCGCGCGTGCGCGCGCCGTCCCCTCGCGATCAAAGGTGCGCGACCCCCTCTCGGGTCCCCACTTAGCCCCACGCCAGCAGCTTTCCGAAGCACGCACCCCCTCCTCTCAGCCCCGCCCAGCCCCGCGCACCAGGCCCGCGCTCCCCGAGCCCCATCCTTTCGGTGCCGGGCTTCCGGTTCCCGGCTCCGTGGTCTCGGGCGCCGGAGTCCCAAGCCCGCGACGCCACCCCTCAAACCCATTCGGCCCGGCCAGCGGGCTTGCACCGCTGCCACCAGTGCTTCACCTTTTAAATTTTCCGCCATCTTTCCCCACGGCTAACGACATTCGGGCCTAACCGGCCTCGCGAGAAGCTAGCTCGCGCGGGCGTGGCCGAGAACACGCAGCCTATTGGCCGTGGAGCGCTGAGAGCAGCTCCCGCGCGGACCAACCGGTGAGCCGTGACCGGACCCCTCCCCGCTACTCTGCTCGGTCCCGAAGGCGGGGGCTCGCCGGCGCTTTCCCAGAGTGCGTCTGGGCGACGGCGGCGGCGGCGGCGGCAGCTGAGGTTGCTGGAGGCTCTGCCTGTACGCTGGTGTATCTGTCCTGGTGTCAGCCAATCACATTGTCAGCCAGACGGACGGGGGAGATTCTCTATCCTGTCAGATCCCCAATTACCACGTCAGTCAATCCAGCAGCACATGTTAACCCCAAGCAAGCCGTGGATCCTCGGATGGACTAATGCCGTTAACGCTCAGTCCTCTAATTTAAATCGGACTAGGGGTCCGTCCTCACAGTCAACTGTTTCATCAGCCCCTCCCTCCATTCACACTAGCAGTCTACAGCTGCATCCATTCAAACACTCGGCTCGCTCCGAGGTCCTTAAGGCAGACAGACGTCGTTTGCTAATAGTTTTGCTGCTAGTCAACCAGCCTGTCATTCCCTTAGACTGTTCCTTCTTCACACAGGCAAGCAGCCAGTCTCTCCATCTCCCCTTGCCCTGGGAGCAGCTCTGAATCCCCCTGGGAAACCATCTCTAGCATTACTCTAAGCAGCAGCCAGCAGCCATGCCCTCAGGCAGGCTGTGATGAGGTTGGGACAGGCTGTTATTGTCAGTATCCAATATAGCCCTTTCATGCAGTCACACTATCCACTGCCAGTTGTTCACTCTAATTCCCTCAGGTTGCATCTCATTCACACCATGATCAGGCAGTTATTCCCTCAGAGCAAACAATCACAGCAGCTAAAGCCTCTAATGCCACCTGTTTGTGGGTCAGCAGTCTGTCATTTCTCAGGCGAGGCATGCCCACCATTGGTCAGTCAGTCAGTATCCTCTGACCCATTGGGCCCCCTCAGGGTGGCTGTGATTCTTACCTTGTACAGCCATCTAGTCAGGCAGCCACGCTGATCTTTCAGTTGGTCAGCAGGCCTGTGACTCATTCAGTCTGCCCTTCCATCATATTGTCAGTTATCCAGGCAGCCATTCTCAGCATCCGATTGACCACACGGTTTGTCAAGCATGCTGAGATTCAGTCAGGGTGGACAGTCAGTCATCAGATGCAGTTGCCTGTCAGGTGGTCCCAGATCTATTCCATCAGTCAGCCTGAAATTCTCTCAGTGTAGCCCTCCTTTACACATCTCCAGACAGTGTAACATCCAGATACTCCTTTGGGCCAGGTGTTATTCCTAGCAATAGTCAGCTATTCACAACTTCCCACCACCCAGGCAGGCAGAAACACCATGGGTCAGCAGTCAGTCCGTGTGCTAGTCCCTCAGGAGGCTACTTGGATTCTATATGGTCAGACCATCAGCCCAGCCAGTCCCAGGTGGGCTGTAATTTAGTTAGATATTCAGCATCTCACAGCATCAGGAAACCACACTGTCAGTTCCTCAAACTACCCCTCTCCCTGTTGGTCCATGTGTTATGTAGTCAACCAAATGGCTATATAGTTAACCAAACAGTTATTCAGTCTGCCTACCAGTTCAGTGGTGAGCTGCATGGAAGAATGGCTGGTCAGTTCCATCAGCCCTTGCTTGTCACCTGTGAAACTGTCAACAGCATTAAGTCCCATGGTGTATCCCCCTTCCCTCCCTTATGCCTTCTAGAACAGAGTCAGATGCTGGTCATTACATGTCCCCAGTCTCCCCTGGCAGGCAGGACTCTCCCAGTCCCAGGAGTGTGGGAGCCCTGTCTAACCCATGAGAATGGTTTAAGGCATGACTTATTTCTGCCTGAATCTGGAGGGGTGATGTAGGGGTCTGTGTGTGCTAGAGAGTATCCCCTGGTCCTCCCCAAACACTGTAAGTAGTGGTTAAGGGCATGGATTCTGGAGCCTGGCTACCTGGGTTGAAATGTCAGCTCCACCATTTACTAAACTGTGTGACCTTAAGCAGTTTCTTCATCTGTAAAACCTCAGATGAATGACCTTGGGGTGGGCATCTCTTAGTCATCTGGAAAATGAATCTTTCTGAACTAGCAACTTTTCAGGAGACCTCAAAAGTAAGAGGTACCCTATTACTACCTACCACTTGTCTGTTCAGCATTAATTTAGTGCCAACTGTGTATACTGCCTTGCCCAGCACTGGGGCCAATGAAAGGTTTTATCAATTCCAAGCCACACAGGTTGGACCTGTTTTTAATGTGAACCTCATATTGGAGGGTACCACACATACAGAAGAGTACACAGGCCATGAGTGACTAGCGTAATGATTTTTCATATGAGAACATACATATGGAACCAGAACACAGTATAAGGAGCAACATCACTAGCCAGGGTTCCAGGAGCAGTTAATTTTTTAATGTCTCTGAAATCAGGCTGCATCTCTCAGGCACTGGAGGGTCATATTTTAACTGGCAGTACTTTTTTGTCTTCCTTAGTAATACATAAAATAATGGTGAATTTTATAATCAGTGGTGACTCAGGATCAGCGACAACCAGTAATAATAGTAATAGTAGCAGCAACAGTAGCAGCAGCAGCTAATGTTTATAGATGCCTACGAGGAGCCAGGCCCTTTGCAAACACTATCTAGTTTAATTCTTGCCACAGCCCTGTGAAGTAAGTATTTTTATCTTAGTTCAAACACTGAGGAAACTGAGATCCAGAGAAGTCAAGCAACTTTCCCATAGTTGATTCTTTTACCCCAAGTCTGTGCCTGCTCCAGCCGGTGCTCCTGGGGATTCAGAGGCAGTGTGATGTAAGGTCTGTTCCAGGACAAAGCCTCCTGAAGGGGTCCTGAAACCCTGGATTTTGAGGGTTTTCAGGAATAAAGGGTGTAGAAGAGGGGCAAATGATACTAAGAGGCCCTTCCTAGCTTCAGTGTTTTCCCGGGGCACCTGGCTGGGGCAGGGTAGGGAGTGGAGTGGGTGGTGAAGAATAGTGAAAGAATTCAGGGGACCCCAAGACTACCCCCTTCTCCAGCTTCCAGGGTTGCATGGGAATGCTTAAGGGGCAAAGCCAGCTACCACTCCCCATACCTCCTCCCTTGCTCTCCTTTCTTCTCTCCCCTTACCCCGGCAACCTGCACCTTGGATGGTTCAGAAATTCTTCTGCTGGTCTTGCAGATGGAAAAAGCCTGTCCTCTCTTGATTCCTCCTCACTTTTTATCTTCCTCCCCTCTCTCCTCCTCCTCTAAAAGTGGATACCTCCTCCTCTAAAAGTGAGATCTTGAATCCACCAGACTTCAGAAATGGAAAAGGGTAGGCACCTCAATTCTAGGCTCTTATGTGCAAGAGCTTCTAATTACTCCCTTGGAAATGGCTTTACACATCAGGGACAGTTTTGAGTTGCTCCTTTTTTCCTGGGGAGCAAGTCCTGGAGGAGAAGGGGAGATCCAGTGGGATCTAGTATCGTGTTCATTGAATAGTTAAAAAAATGAGGGGATAACTCTCCCATTTATTCATCACACTCATCCTCATGCCAAACTTTTCCCCACCTCAGGGCCTTTGCACTGGCTGTTCCCTCTGCCTGGAGTGCCCTTCCCCCCAAATATTCACCTGGTTGACTCCTCTTTCTTTACATAGAGCATAAAATGTCACCTCCTTCAAATGGCTTTCCCTGAATGCTCCATCTGAATGCCACCTCCCCTCAGCACATCATTGCACCTATCATGATTTGTTTCCATTTGATTCCTTGTTTCTGGGTTGTTTCCTTCCTTAGAATGTTGGTGTCAGGAGGGCAAGAATTTTTGTCGGGTTTTTTTTCCCCCACTGCTCTTTATTCCCAGCTCCTAAAGTAATGCCTGGCAATAAATGTTTGTAGAAGAAGGAAGGGCAGTAGGATACAAAGAAATAAAGCTAAATGGGGGAACATATGAATGAATGTATACATGTAAGGCTAAAGAAATGAAATGGGATAGATGAATAAAAGGGAGTTTGGAGAGAAGGACCCCAAATTCCCACGTGGAATATAAAGAAACTGAGATTTAGAGAAATGAAAAGACAGTTGTTTTATTTTGTTTAAAGATCCTTGTGTAAGAAAAACTGATAAATTTTGTATACACAGGGTCCTTACTAAGGCAAGTGTGGGGGCCCTTCAGAGGTAACAGTATTGGAGAGGGTGGTGGGGAAGAAGCGGGACTTGGGCGCCTGGAAGTCGAGAGGAGAGGTCAGGGAGCAGGGGCTGCCAGGAGACAAGGCACAGAATAGGTGGAGGGGGTGACTCAGTCTTCCCATTCGTCATCCTCATCCTCATCGCCGGCCTGGTCCTCCCCTTCATCTGAAGAGAAAGTGGGATTCAGGACGGGTGGGAGGGTTCAAAGGCCCTGGGGAATGGGGGTTCTAGGGCCTGAGAGGTCAGGGCTCAGAGTCCTGGGGGACTGAGGTCTCCTGCTAGGAAATCAGATCTGGGGCCTGGAGGTTGGGTCAAGAAGGGGACTACTCAGAGGAGGAGAGTTAGGGTTTCCATTTGGGACAAGTGGATAGGAGGTATCCACTTTTAGAGGAGGCATCCTCTGAGTGGTCCAAACTGGAGCCAAACCAAAGTTAGTATTATTGTCAAAAATGTGTTTGATTGGGGTTTTATTGTCACACAAAGGGCTTGTATTACCAGGTTTGTCACTTGAAGGGATGAATTTAAATGTTATTGGCAAAGGTGGTATAGATTACAATATTATTGCTTCATAGCAAGTAAATATTAATATTGTTGACACATAATGGAGTTAATGTTGTCAAAAGATGAGGTTTGTTGTAATATCATCATAATGGATTTGTGCTCATCTTGTGGACACATTCTTGGGTTAATATTAATATTCTTGTCAAAGTTGGAGTTAATTATATTATTGTCACACAATAGTTTGGAATTCATCTTATCCTCATCTAATTGTCATATAATGACAGCAGTGTTGACACTTTAGCAGATAGATGTTAATATTACTGTAAAAAGATTGGGTTAGTTATAGTATCACATAATGAGTTAATGTTAATCTGCTGGCAGCTGGAGTTAGAGTTAATATTATTGTCAAAGGTGGGGTTCTTCACAATGTCATCATGTAGTATGCT